TAGTGTAAATTGGTTTTGGTTGTTTCATAGAAATGACTGAAGAATAGAAAAATATAAATCCAGATGAGTTTCTGAGCAGGATGAAAAGACCAAATGATTAATAGTTCATTTGGACGTTATTTCTGAGAGCTTTGACACAAAGACAGAAACTGAGCCTCAACAGAATAAACTGTCGTTGGAGCTGAGACGAATCTGAGATGTTGAGAAAAAACATCATAAATCCCAGAAAGTTTAATTTGTTAAGTTTAGTCTGAAGGAAAAAGATTTATTTCACTTCACTTTGCATAAATTTGATTCTGTTTAGTTGCTTAAACATTAACTCAGATGATTAGCATGTTGTATATATGGTCAAAATAAATTAGCATGTTGTATATATGGTCAAAATAAATTAGCATGTTGTATAGATGGTCAAAATAAATTAGCATGTTGTTTAGAATAGAGTTTGGATTCACATGAACATCCAGCAAATGTCAAAACAGGCTCAGAACACAAGAGTCACAAAGAAACTTTATATAGTTTTCAAGTATTCAAAACTGTTAAATAAGTACAAGATGTGTTCACATGATTTACATATTGGACAATATATGCACTGCCCACTTTTAATTCTTTTTACACGTTTTCCCACTACCCACGCAACACGCTAAAATGTCCGCAAACTATTCACATTTGTTTTGCCTTTTTTTCTTTTTTTGCCTTTTTTAATCAATTTGAAATCTCGACAGCTGTCTATTGGACAAAGACCACACAGACGTTATACCTGGAACAGTTTACAGTGTAGGATGGAGACGTCCGACGAAGGGGGGGGCAGACTGAGCCAGGGTCAGAACGGTGATTAGCTGCTGGTGATATGAACAGTACGTGTTAACACAAGAAAAGTGGGTTAACATTCGAAACCACTGTTGATCCCTTGATGTGTCGACTTCCACACAACAAACATAAAATAATATACAGAAGGACTGAAGCTGCTGAGTCGTGTCAGTATTTCAGGGAGGTGGCTTCAACGTTTTCATTCCCATTGATTGGTTGCGTCACAAATTTGGTCTAAATGTGTCAAAAAGCTCTTTAAGGCACCGAATGCTGTGGATCGACAGTTTGACATTTTGGAAACAAGGAAAATGCACAAAAACAAACAGGCTGAAGATCAGAGAGGAAACGGGTGTTTCTCTACGGAGCTCTGGCCTTTTAAAGTTAATGCTGCCTCGTCCTCCCAACAGGTAAACAGGAGAGAAACTCAAACATTGCATGGAAATAAAAAGTAGCACCACAGAGAAAATAAGAAAATATGATTCTAATCCTAAAAGAAACCTTTTCAACAGGATGTTCCTCCTCGAGACTCTGATGAACATGGACGCCTGTTAACTTCAGAGCTGCAACTACAAATCAGATTCATTCGTGTGTGACGGAGGTGGCGTCTTCAAACGTTTCCCTTGGACCGAAAAACTAAATCATTGAGCTTATGACCACGGAAGATTTCAATCCAACAGGAAAAAAAAAACAAAGTCATGTTTGAGAAAGTGAAACCAGAGAATTTTTACATATTTCCTTGAATTGAAAAAGACAATTAATTCGGAGTCGTGTGCAGAAGTGGCAGCTCTGGGTAGATCTAGGATCTCTGCATCTAGATTTAGGTAGAAAAACAATAAGACGTGACTTGAGGAACTGTCATGATTTATCTGAGGGACGTGAGCCAGTCTTTCTGTACATTACTTTTAGAGACTTAAAAAAGCTTAGGTAGCCTTTACATGTGGATTACCATGTTCTCACTTGTAAAACGGTGTTGAACTACCATGTGTGCCATGTCACCATTATACCACAAAAACTCAGGTCCTTTTCATTTCCCTACATCTGTGATTATAAACCTCGTGTGCTTCGTTTTATTTGAATTCTGCAGCGTAGTGGATTCATCAGCAGCCTCTGGAGGAGCTGCTGGGCGTCGATGGAGGAAAATAATTGTGCGACTCCGTTAATTCTTTCGTCTGATGACGCTGTAGACACAGACGGAGCTCCTCTGCTCACTGTGGAGACGGGTGTTTCCTGGTGAATCAACATCAGAGCCATCGAAATAAAAAGATCAACTCTGTTTCACTGGTTTAAATGATGAAATGACTTCTACACGATTAACTTAAACAATAAATAATGCTGATAACTGAAGATTCACTGAAACTCAAGTGGTTCTTTAAGGATAATGGAAACATGGCACCAAGTGAACCGCCTGGTCTTATAATGCCTCTGGACCGAGCGCACCACACCGCACGTTCAGCGTGGTTCGCCACACAAGTTACAAACTATGAGACAAAAATCTAAACTTCAATAAAAACCTGCCTATGAGACAGAGGGGATAGTCACCATACTGTACATTTTCTACAATATCCATGTCCATTATGAATATATCAAGTGCATTCACTTGAAGGAAAAGTTCGACTTAAAACAAATCCTTGTTTTTCACTTTTCAAACAGGCCGAATTGTTCAGAAACAACAAAGATAAATTTTTGCACTTCAGCTTGATCGATTTAATTTGTCTTGATCAGAGCTGAAACGACACGTACTGATGAAAACAAGTGAAGTGAAGAACAGAGATTTGTTTTAGGTCGACATCGCCCTCCAGTAACGTTCATTCAGATTCTCATTCTGTCAGCAATTTGTTTTTAAATTACTGTACTTCTTTTACATCAACACAACAGTTGATTAGCGAGTTGTCTTTATTTACAGGGAAAGGTGGAAGCGATGAGCTCCACAGCTTATGCATTGAGCCTCAGAGACTGATCCTCTCTCCTCCTGGAGGAGATATCGATGTCTATGGAGTCTTTACCCACAATGAGTCGCAGCCGCTTCGCTGGAGGAAGTGGAATGAAATCGTCTTCGAACTCGTTGTCGAAGTAGTCGTCGTCATCCTCCTCTTCCTCGTCGTCGTCGTCCTCCTCCTCTTCAGACGAAGGTTCGGCCAGGACTTTTTGGGTCCGATGTCCACCGTTCCTGGCCTCCAGACTCTGACCCATGTCCCCGTTAAAGGACATCTGTTCGGCCCGTGTCTGGGATATTCTCCGCGCATCGTCCTCTCTCTTCAGCTGGATCTTCAGCTTGGTGGAGTTACTGTGGACCACAGGGGCAAAGCCGTTATTCAGTTTGGCGATGTACGAGCTGCCCTTGTCCTTGTCGTGGTCTTTGCTGAACTTAATGCTGATTTTGCTGGAAGAGGCGGAGTTGACCGTAGAGGCCGAAAGGTTGGAGGAGCCGATGGTATCGTTGGGATCGTTAGTTTTGCTACTGCTGCTGTCCCTCCGCCGGCGGAGTGTCAGTTTGGGGATGCCCGTGTTGTTCTCCAGAATCAGCTGTGCATCATAACGAGTGATCTGACGTTTCTTCTTCCCCTTGTCCTGCGACCGACAGCCACTCTTACCCTTGTCCCTGCGCAGGGATTTGCTGCCATTGGAAACCCCGTTGTAGTCCCTGTGTCGCTCGGCGATGCTCAGCAGCACGTTGCCACAGTCTGAGTAATTAGCGTTGTGGCCAGCAGCCACGGGCATGTACGGCTCGCCATACGGGTCCTCGCATTTAATCGTCCGCTCGGTCCTGAGCCGCGTCACCCGTTTCCGCCTGGTGCAGGAGCCTCTTCTGGCGTAGCTGGAATCTAATGCCGGCTGCTCCAGTCCCGCTCCATGGCGGAGATACTCCTCCATGTCAGCTGGCTCTGTTTTAATGACCACTCCACCAGGGACTGGGCTCAAGCCGTCCATGGCACTGGGCTCCAGCTTAACGCCAGCTGCTGTTTCCTGGGCTTTCACAAGGGTCCTTGTGGACCTGCGAGTTCTGTATGTCGAACACTGGCTGCCCTCGCTGCTCTGCACAACTTGTAAGTTGCCATTTTCCTTGGCAGCATGACGGGTGAGGCAGCCCCGCGGGCCTAGTGTCTGCTGCCCCAGCTCCTGTCCGTCCTTCTCCTTTTTGACGGTGACACCTTTACACAGCGACACCTTTGAGTCCCTGAGACCCAGCTGGCAAGTCTCTCCTTTGGCCAACACCTTGGGCTCTGCACCCCTCCTCCGACACCGCAACTGGACTTTACTTAGTGAAGGTTTGGATTGGGATTTTAGTCTCTTTGGTACCCTGTTATTGTTCACACGACCTTGTTTTGAACATGAGGTAGTAAGGGCTCTCGACAAAGTCTGTCTGGTCTGAGTCCTGTTTTTGTACTTCAGGCCAGATGAGGATGTTCTTTTTCTGGCAGCTGTAGAAGAGTCATATATTTAATATTATGCACTGACAACCAGATGTGAAACTTACCTGTACATGTGTGGGCTGGGTTTGCTGTACAAAAAAGTATTTTCTGAATAATAATAATAAAGAATCACATTCAAGACATTCATTAATGTGCAGTACATAATCTATTGCTCAGCTACAATACATGAAAATAAATAACATGGCTGCCGTCACCACTGTGTTTGTTGCATGGATCTCTTCAGAACTTCAATGACTGTGGCAGCAGCAGGTCGTGACTTACATTGATGTGTTTTTGGCATTTCCTGAGAGTCTACATCTGTGTGGGAGCCGACAGAGTGACTGTCCGAGCTCCGGTTTCCTTCCCCCAGCTTCTTCAGTCTGTTCAGACGCTTGTCGGTCTCCCGCAGCCCGTACTTGCTGTTGATCACCGGCACTTCCACTGGCAGTCCAGCTTTGGATTTGAAAGCACCGGTACCCCGTCTGCTCAACAACAACAATAACCCTTCATCACAGCTTCAGGAGAGTCTACATCCTACAGTGCATCGGTCGTTCACCTACCGTTCACATGTGTAGCATTCACAAAATTCATTGTTTTCACCAAAAAAACCATCGCCGTAGTAACAAGAGATTTCCTCTCCCGGTTCAATGTCCCTCAAAACCTTCACACAGGCCGTGTCTCGTCCTGTCGATACAAACTAAACAAACGAGAAACAAATACGATTTGTTGGTTTACTTTCAAGTTCAACAGCAGCTGAACCAGTCGCTCATAGTTTCCTCAGACACGTTAAACTGGAGCCTACCTTGCAGTTTGGTCGACAATCTTCAGGAGAAAAAGGGAGAAAAGACAAATTAGTGCAACACTTCTGCTGATTCAGGAATCTCAATGTGTAGCTGCAGCACTAACGACGCTCGGTCATCAGAGATATCAAAGATTAATACCGTGATTGATGAAGGCAGCTGGCCCCAACCAGAGCTGTGCACAGTTCTTACGGGTTGAATACATGACGCTAAAGTCATTCTCCCCGTGTCGGAGCAGCATGTTCTCCTCGCTCTCCGACAGCTCAGCGATGCATCCCACCAGATACTCGATCTTATCATTTCTCTTCCTGTAAAACAAAAAAGGTTAACTACAGATTACATCAGGAGGCTGAATGACTCTTTCACACTTTAAGAAACGGACTGAGTTCACGCCTGTAAAGCTGAAACAATAAGTCACTTTACTGATTTGTCAATGGAAGAAAATTAATGAACATTCATGGATTAATTGATTGTTTCAGTTACTTTTCAACCAAAATTGAATCCAGGTTCTTTGAGGTGTTGGGGGGGGGGCTGTTTTAATAACTATAAATGCAAATCATTATATTCAAAGCTGCTGACTGGACACAGGTAATCTGAAGATGCCACCATGGGCGATTTTTAACAGAATAATAAACTGTGAAAAGTTGCAGTTATAGATATTTGTTGAAGCAAAATGAACCAACCATTCCTTCGTTGCCACAATTTTAGCTCCATTTTGCTCTGATGAATAACGATTACAAGGGAGAATCTCAAAGCCGCTGTCTGTGGCAAACATCCGCAGATACACAAACACCTGTGAAGACACAACATTAGTTATCGGAGTGTTATTTGTGGTGCTGATAGAAAAACTGAGCGGATATGTGATAATAGTTTTACATGTTGCTTGAAGAGCTTCTCTTGGGCTTTCGTCTTGTGGATAAAAAGATTTCGGGACCAGTCTCCTGTTGTCAGAGCTCTGAAAGCTTTCTCCAAGTTGTCATGTTTCTTGAAGCGCTCGATGATTTCTTTCAGCTCCTCTTGTCTTCCCTTAATCGGTCGAAATCTGTGGGGACACAGTAATGTCAAAAACCTTAATATGAAATAAAGTGCAACCAAATCTAAAGAGAAACATCTGTGCACATTCATTCATTTGACTGTGAAGAGACTGCTCCACCATAAATTCCCCTGTGATGAATCTGCTGACCTGGTGTTCATTTTATGAGTCTGAAAGCCCAGATAAGGATCCAGGATGAGGCTCGTGGTCAGATCATCATTCTCACACAGCTCCTTGGCAGTCATTCCTGAGGAGGGCACATAGCGCCTCTCTGCCTCCAGACTGGCTGCACTAAACCCTGTAAACAGCAAACACAGGGTTAACAATATGTAAATGCTAAAGAATCTAGACATTTGTCAACACGCCGTTCAAACTCACTGCGGCTACATCTTCGGTTTCTGGGGTGGGTTTTGTTGTGGCGCAGGGATGTCCGCTGTGAATGCTGAGAGCGAGTCTGGCTCTGGCTCACAGGTTGCTCGCTGGTCAACTTGTTTCCGTGTCGTCTGCCATTTAATACCATGTTCTTGGATTCGCCCAACCACTTCATGCCCACAAGCCCCCTGGTCCAGTTGCATTTAGTCTCTGAGTTTAAGAAACACTCGAGTGGGGAAGACTGTGGTCTAAAGTTTGAAACCTGCGTGCAAAGCAGAAGCAACAAATGTTACTACATGCACAGTCAATGCATTTCATTATTTCAGACTTACGATATACAAAACGAAGATGGATGGAAACAGCAGATGGATGTGTTGCCAGCTCAGACTGAGGGAAAAATATTTATTCATATAAGTGAGGATGAGAACTTAACTCTTCTCACTGAGGGAGGAATTAGCTCGGATGCTAAGTGCCTGAGCTCTTAATGAAATATTTTCTGTTCAGGCAACATGAACATCACATACACTTAACTCTGGTGGTAACACACACACACTACATGGCTCTGGCAGCACGCAACATTTGCCCACATTTAGCTAGTAGCTACAGCAAACTCAGTCTACATGACAACAAAATGCCTAAAGCCAAATGTCTGAATGTGTGGCTGTAGTTCACACAAAGATTCCAACTCTGGGACACGGGGCGAATCTTTGAAGACAGTTCTGTGTAAAGGGGACACGAGAAACTTAATGAAGCACCTGGCGACACACATGTGAAAGCAGAGAGAGGCAGTTTGACAGTTGTGTGACCTCATGACAACCACGTCAGCTGGCAGTGTGGGTGTCTCTGATCTTATCTCCAACACTTGTTTTTTGTTTTCTTGAAGAAGTTCTGGGATCATTTCAGCACCGGAACCGTTTAAAGGATCAATTTCACACCAGAAAAATCCCAAACGACACCAAACAACCTGAACAACTTGCCGTGTTCACACTTTGCATTAATATAAAGTAATATAATTTAACTGGATCTGACAGATTCACTCATTCACAGATGTAGTGTGAGGAAGTACATGTCTCTGACTTCACTGAACTCTGCCAAACAATATCCAGCAGGAGATCCAGAGTCACAGCAGCTAAATAAAGTTAAACATCAGTGTCGACATGGAGGAAGGCACCGATCAATCACACAGCCAGTACCAGCTGATAGTACCAGCTGCTGCACAGAAAACTACTTCACCCAGTGGTGCCTGAGGCCCTGCAGCGCCGCTCAGTGGTAACCCCTGGTAAAGCACTGGCTGACTGTCAAGTGCAACAGTAACGTCGGTGTTTTCTCCAAACACACGAATAAAGTGTGAGTGTGTTAACGTCATCAAACCCCACGAACACGTCCCTTTGTGTTCGGCTGCAGGACAACGTCAGGCTGTGGACACCGGGACACACCGGGACACACCGGGACACACCGGGGTGTAACTTCAAACCCGTGAACGCGTCGCCACAAGCCTCGTTTCACCAGTAATCGATGCATAAAAGCTTATAGTATTAGCTGCGAGCTAACGTTAGCCTCCACCACACACACACCGGGCTGAGGGAGGCGGTGGGGACCCGAAGGCCACAGCGCCAGATGAGGCCGAGGCTGTCGGAGTGATCACCTCGGCTCGCATTGTTTGCTAACAACTGCCGTTCCTCCACCCAACCGCTGCGTTAGCACGATGCTAACAACCAGCGGAGACACCGGGGAGATGCTCGGCCCCGGAGATTAGCTTCCTCCGCCGGGCTGGGATCAACGATGCTGCACATGAGGAGGTTCGGGAGGCACCAGGAGCTCACACGTTCAATACAAAGACACGAGATCACGATGATGGTGACGCTGGTTCAGAACCGCACACAGTTACCGTCACAACAATTACACACTGACCGTGGATCTCAGGGGGCTCCCGAGGGTTCCACCCTCCGCGTGAACATCCAAACTAAACGAATAAAGAGCCGTTTGTGATCCATCTTCTGTTCACAACACAAACCTTCTCTCACACTGTCCGTCTGCAGCTGCAAACTTAACTTCCGCAGGTTGCTAGCTTAGCATTAGCTAGCACAGTCTAAAAAGCCCCACATCAGCCCCTCACCCTCAGCACAGTTAGCATTTATCACTGTAACGATATGAACACTGCTGATAATCAACTGTTCCCACCAGAACCGTTCGCTGCTCACATGTCCCGGGGAGAGATGCTAACTGCTGCCGACCTGCAGTCCACCGGAGCACTGCAGCTAGCAGCGTTAGCTCTGGGTGTCTGGTGTGGAAGCTATTCGCTAGCTTAGCAGGCTAACTAAAGGAAATTAAAAGTTAATGTTGGCGTGTGTCCCGATGTAGACGAGTTCTACCAGAACCTACGCTGGTGGACCCGCGGAGGTTCTGTTGTGAATCAGGAGAACAGTGAAGGAACCTCACAGCGTTTTCACGCGTTCTTACGTTAAATGTCCCGAGTCCACAGCAGCGACACAAGCAGACACACACGGTACTCACACTGTGGTTCTGTACAGCACGGCCCGCTGCAGCACTTCAGAACCGGTCCTGGTTCCACAGCCTGAACGAAAATATCACAGCAAACACATTATTTAGAAATTAACATTAAAATTCAAGATGGCGGCGCAGCACAGGGGAGAGGGAGAGAAAGGCGCAGCACCGCCATCCTAAAGAAAATAGACCCAACCAACACGCAGCCGCTCTCAGGCGTGTGGACGGAAATACGAGAACCAGACACAGAACCCACGGTTCCGTCTGACGCCGAGAACCAGAACCTTAGAGAACACGTGTTCACAGCGTTAGTGGCGAAATGTCGGAGATCGTTATCGAGTTTGTGGCTGTGACAGTCGGATGTACACAAAAGTAGTTCTGCATAAACAAACCTCTTTACGCTTCCTACGGATCCAGCGGAGAGATACTGATGGTGATTCTGCCTGTGGCCCTGACCCTGTGGAGAACCTCATTAAAACTAGATAGAACCTCATTAAAACAAGATAGAACCTCA